TTTCAAATAACAATCAGAAATATGTGTGATGAGCCACAGGAGAAGGGAAAGGGATTTGGGGTTGTGGTTTGTTTGTTTTTTCTTGGCTATCATTAAAATTCTATCAGTACTTTGGTTATCACTAAAATTTGTTCCAGTAAGGGACAAAATTACCAAACTTTATGCTGCAGCCTCTATTGAATCCTGAGCAGGAACTATTACAGCCTGGAATCACAACTCAGAAGCCAGTAGGAGCTTCTTATATCTGAGGGCAGAATTTAATGTCTTGTGCTATTTGAGGCTTGGTGTTGGGCTCATTCCTAATCATTGAGGAGGGTTCTGGTAGATGTCAAGTGAAGAGAAGAATAGAGCACGCATCCTTCACCACTCAAGCCAGACAATGAAATTAGAAAATGGCACTGGGAGTTGATGTGAGAGAATTCCCTTGGATTCCTAGAGGAAGAATAAAACAAGAATGAATTAATTAAAAAAAAAAAAAAAAAAAAAAAAAAAAAAAAAAAACAAAAAAAGGGGGGGGGGGGGGGGTAGCAGAAATGAAGAGGAGGAAAAAGAAAATAAATGAGAGAAACCCTGCCAGAAGCCTCCTCAGGTTAAAGTCTGACATTAAAAACTGTATTGACTTTTCACATAAAGGCGTGTGTACTCACTGTTTCATCTGAGTTTCTGGTGCTGCATTTTTCAAATCTCTTACCGAGCAGTTTGCATGCATATGATGTTTGCAGCACTACCCGCTCTTATTTGAAGACTGTTTTCAGAAGTCATTATTGAACTATAGGATAAAAAGGTATAAGCATAATTACGTGTTAAAGAGAATAAATATGTTCTGCTAGATAGTTAACCAGATGAGGTTAAACAAGATAAGATGAATTCTGGTCTTTTTAGAAAACTGGCAGTCTTCATTTTAAGCTACAATGTAAAGTGCTTTATCCTGAGATTAGGTATTGTGGCAGAAGCTAAAACTGCCTTTTTCCCCTAACCGTGCCAGAATACAACCTCCTTTTCTTTCTGCGCTAACAAGACTGCTTTACCACCACAGCCCACTCTAAGTAATTAAATCAATCCTTTGTACTTACCGTATTCTCCTCTAGTGACGGTACTAGATCTGATTATATGCTTCATGCATATTCAAAGTACAGCACTGACAGCTCTTTAATGAGCTCTTACTTAATCAGTACGAACAATGTTCATCTTGTTCTTTTTTTCCTCATACATTAGAGCTAGGAACAGTTGGGGAAAAAATGAAACATCCAGCATTCATTTGAAAAATATATTGTACTTTGAAAAGTGTCTAAGCTGGAGAAGTTGCATTCTGCCCTTTAAAAGTCTGATGGACAAATTGGATTACTAGTATTGGATTAAATAACAAATGGTTAGAGGAGAAATGAGAAAAGCTCGCTGTGATCACAGGCTTTAATATTTTTTGTTACTTATAAAGCTGAAGGGGTCTTTAACCAGTTATTAAAGTCAGGATTAATTTGTAATGGTCCAACTTACTAGCTTTAAAAGGGTTTTGTTGTTGTTGTTTATCAAAAACAATAGTGTAATGCATGTATTATGGAAAAAATTTAAGTTTAAGATCTGTGGGCTATTTATAGATTTTCAGCATCTTGTACTGGCTTAGATAAGGGGTTTGCATGTGTGGGATCGATTTGTTCTCCAGCATGGGTTTTTTGCTTCATTTAAATAATCTGTACAGTTTGTTGGGTTTTTTTTTTCCTCATGAACAACACAGATACTTTCCCAATTTAAATTTTCAAGCATTTGTAGCAAGTCAATTAAATACTTGTTTTACATTTGGAAAGTGGAAACAACAACCACCCCAGGAGCAGCTTGAGTTTTACAGAGTGAAACCGTGTTGAAGAAAGGCTTTTTCTAAATTTTTTATTTAGAAATTGTAAATGTGAGTTTAGCTTGCAGTATTGCTGCAGTAACAACACTCAGTTTTTCTTTGTTGAAAGTGTTTCATGTGCATCCTTTCACCACGTAAAAAAAATGAAGTAATGCTCTAATGCTAGTGTATTTGCCGAAGAGTTATTTAAATTTCTTATATATGGGAGTTCATCTTTATTTTTCTTGCCTGGGAAGAATTTGTTTCAGCTCTGTGCACAAGAATTTAAAAGCTGACAGTCAACAAATAAAATATCGGCATCGACTACTATTAATATTGCACACATGTGTCATTTCACTGATCAAAAAGGCCTTCGCCAGGGTAAAATTGGCCTTTTTCCAAATTGCAAGCTTTTTCTCAGCTTTTTCTTTTTTGCTCTTTCTTCTTTTGTTGCTGCCCGGGGATTTGTGCCTATCGCAGCCGATATCACATGACCGGTGTCAGGGCATCACATGGGTCCAAAGCGAATACAAAAACAGATTTAAAATTCTGTAAAAACAATCAAGACTTTGTTAATTCACTTCTAAACCAGCCCATTCTATGGATATTGCGTGTGCTTTGGTGTCAGCACGGATATATTAAAATAGGCACCTGTGCAGATCTGGCACGACAGCTCCAAGCTTTACCCAGATCTTTTCTCATTATGTGTTGCAACTAACTGTGTTTAGAAGGAATGCATTAATAGAAAGAAGATTATATCTGAAGTCTATGTTCTTAACCTGAAAGTGCATGGACCGAAAGTCAACGAATTCAGATCCACCATTGAGCCAAACACTTTGGAGACATTTGTCTCTCCCATTTCTTTTTGAGGCTTGCAAAATTAAATGCAGCAAGGGCTTGTATTTATAGTCTTTGAGCCAGACATCCCAGTCCACCCCAAAACTAACAAATTGATTGAAATTTTACTGTAGCCACAGATGTCCGGTTGTGAGAACTTTGCCACATTGCCAGTAAAAAATCTCATGCATTACAGAATAGACTGGTCATTTTGCAAGGGAAAAAAAAAAAGGCAAAAAAATCCCGTTCTTCTTGACCTCTCCCCTGAATAAGTTTCAACTACTTCATGCATTTCAACAAAAGGCTGGTGATACTGATTATTATCTACTTCCAAAAGCAGACCATGTTAGATGGACCAGTACAGCAGCAAGGCCTTTGATCTGTAACTTACCAGCAAAGTGTACTGAACTGCTGAATATTGTTGTAAATGCTGTGGTGTGATATTTTATGCACAAAACCCAAAAAGGAGATGTTGGGGGAGAGCGTTACTACATGTCAGATTTCTTCTTTCATTGCTCTATTGCCCCAGGAGCTGGGCCATGCTGCTTTTGCTTGGAAAAGCACTGTGGGTCCATCCATTCTTTGGGATGCTCCACCCTTCCTGCCTCACTGCTAGCAAACTGTGGCCCTAAAAGCACCATTCCAGGAATTTTCATTGACCAGGCACTTCCCAGGCAGATAAGTGGATATGGGTGGATGTCTCCTATCAGAAAGGAGAGCATGCCAAATGTAACCTTTTCTTACCGTGTGGGTCCACCAGTTCCACCCCAAGCTGACCCACTTCCCTGTTCATCCTTTTTTCCTGCCCTTGTGTGGATGCTTCATGGCCATGGCAGAGGGAATCAAAGAGTTTGGAGAAAGCTGGAAAACTTCCCCTGCAGGCAGGAGGCTCACAGCCTGGTGAGGCTGAGATTCTCCATGTAGATCGGGGCTTGCACACTGCTGTGGCGTTGGGGTGTGAACATGCGCGTGGCAAGCATCTGAAACACTCCCATCCAGAAAATGAATGCTTTGGTTTAGGGCAAAACAATGTTTTTCTGGTGTCTTTCCAGCTCCAGGTGCTAGAAACGGCTTCTCTGCAACTATTAAGTTAATAAGGTAGCATCCCCAAGTGTGCAGCACTTTGCGTGAGAGATTTCACACCCGTTACAAACACCAAAGAATTAACTTTTAGCACCCTTGCAGGATCAGTACAGGTGGTATTCACGTATGGCACACGAGGTGCTTAAACTCAAACATCTACCCACACTCTCCCAATGAAGCTCTGTCAAAGCTGGGAAACAAACTCATATGACCAAGCTCATGCTCCTTTGCCTTCATTCCAAGTTTATTCCTAGATTCATTTTAACCCTATGAAATGTGTGAGTTTCATAATTCAATGAGGACCATATCACCTTTGCTCTTCACCTCAGCATGAGGGATGAGAATGTCAGGTTTCCACTGAAGCACAGCCTCCACAAAGGACTTTATCCAAGTCCCTGAGCTCAGAGAGGACGGAATTTGGCTGAGCAGCCCTGTTACATGGAAAGCACAGTCAGGAGCCTTCTGGAGGCTCATCTGCCTTTTGCTCATGGTGCAGGGGTGGTGAGACAGAGCCTTAGAAAGCCTGGTAGAGCTCAGCACTGCCTGCAGGTAGGCTATGAAGACTCCTTGTCCTGATCTTGATCCTGATCCTGCCTGGGATGGATGGGGTCTAGGGAAAGGGTTGCTAGTCCATGCATACACACATGAGACCCTTGGGTGCCTGGATCCCAAGATTATTTGTATTTGTGCAGATGCTCCCTTTGGTTGCAGGTTGAGGAGAGGAGCAGCTCTTTCCAGCTCATCTGGAAGAGTGGCCATGAACACAGAAGCTGAGCAGGTGCCCACACCTTAGCCAAGAGTTCAGGATTAGCATCTCCTCTGCAGCTACTTTGATCCCTGCCACATCATCCTGGCTGTGCTGGGTTTGCATGGGTGGAGTGGATCTTGCCTACAGGGATTGTTTTTGTGTTTGGTGATGACCAGACATCTTTTAGCAGTAAGGGTTGTTCACTGGAAGCATTGCAATTATGTAGTTCATTTGGGAGAATTTAAAATACACAGTCCTTTTAAAAGGTATTTATTTAGGGTCAGCATGATAAAGAACACTACAATGTATCCTGGAGGATAGCTGCTTTCAAAGATTTATTTATAAACCAGGCAGGACTTTGCAGTCATGTGATATTTTTACCATTTGACAATATGCATTGTCATGCTCAGTGATACTGGCAACTGATACTCCAAAACCTGAAGTGAAAATGTGTACCTCAATTTGTGAAATGCCACAGAAGTAATGAAGTTCTCTTGATTGCAGGAAGAAACACAGAAGAAGAAGAAGCTATGATGCAGGAGTGGTTTATGTTGGTTAATAAGAAGAATGCCTTAATAAGACGAATGAACCAGCTTTCTCTTCTGTAAGTACAGATGAACATATGTATTTAAAAAAGGATTATTTACCCTTCAGATAAAAACAAAACTTTTTTTACTCTCTTCCCATTAAGCTTCAAAAAAAAACCCTCAAAAGTGAGTAGTGTGGATGTGTTACACATCGAGTAACTTGTTTTTCTCATATTTCAGACTTGAAAATGAGAAGCATGCAATGACACAAGATTAGCCAGAGCTGTGAAAAAAGAAATTAAAGAAATATTAAGCACTGTTACATTTTCAAAAGCCCAACAGTAGAATAAAACTGCATTTTAGAAATGCACAGATAGATTTAGATTGTGCCTCAGGTGAGACAGGTGAAGTCTATTCAGAGAAGAGCCAAATTTGAGTCACTACCTGCTTTGTAGAAAATCCTCAGTCCCATCTCTGCTGAAGGGATGTCAGTAAATCAGTCACAGTGCAGTGTTACCACTGATACTGCAAAGTAAGGACAAATGAACCTTTTCTCACTGGCAGTGTTGAGGAAGGGAGAAGGAGCTGCTCGTTTGTAGAGGCATTCTGCCCCGAGTGCTTCTCTTCCAGCTTCTTTCACTTTGATATTTCTTTCAGTAATGCCACCTAGTGTAGATGTCTGCATACTTCCCTGGGAAGAGCCTCTGCTCACCTATCTCCTGCTGAACTTGACAGAGGATTTTACCTGCAAAATATTAAGCTTTCTAATCCCTTGTCTAATTTTTATTGTTGATTAGGGCAGAATGTACATAGAATAATACTTCCAGCGTCACATTATCTTGGTGAATAGGTTGATGCTGGAATTTGCTCATTAGATCTGGGGGAATATTTTATACTTTGGACATTCCGCAACAGCTGTTCCAGAGATGAATATGAAATAATTGCATCCTGTAGTGCAGTGGAGTTAAACTGAGAGAATTAAAGCCGACCTTACGTGAAATGAAAAGGCCCTGTTACTGAATAAGCCACCTGAGCCAGATTTTAAGTTTGTGTATCATTTGTTTGGAGTAGCTTAAAGTTAAAGAGAAAAGTCAGTTGCGAGTCCTAAAATCAATGTAAGTTAAAGGTGCTTTTAAGTGTTTAATGATTTAGTAATTAACATATTGATGAACATTTGCAACTTGCCTAGGGAAAAAGAACATGACCTAGAAAGGCGCTACGAGCTGCTGAACCGGGAGCTGAGAGCAATGCTGGCCATTGAAGGTAAGGCAGTGCTGGGGGCCAGGGGGAAAGCTCTCACTGCTGGACAGGTTTGGCACCTGGGAGTGCCAAACGTGGAGGCTTCTCTGAAGCCCATTGGTAATGCTGATATTTGCATCACTTTAATTGATAGTGCACAGCAAGTGTGCTGGGGCTGCAATTCCAGTATTAAGTTTTCTTTGGGATTAAAAAAAAAATAAACTAAAAAAATACCGAGATATGGGACAAAGAAGTATGGTCTTGTTGCAATAAACTTTGAAAACAAAGTGATGAGGAGGTAGAGCATGCGTCTGGGGTTTACAGTTTTTTGTTGCAGTAGTGCTCTCTTGGTTTTCCTGTGGCATCGTGCTGCTTTTGGTGCCACAGAAAAAGGAAGGGGTGACCCACAGAAGAGGGCCTCTTCCTTTTAATGTTTCAGACCTGTTCTACAACAATAACTCACTGAGGGGAAAAAAGTCTCGTTGGTTTTGGTGGTAAAACACTAAGTTTGTCAAGTAAATATTTCATCACGAGCACCAGCAGGATTAGAGTGATCCTTTGCACAGAGTTTCTCCCTTCCCTGTGACTCTCCCCAGTTTAGTCACCTCACCTGAATGGAGGTAACACTCAGGGGAAGATTGACACGGGATAAATGAAACAATTGCACCCTTTCCATAGGGCTTTCCAGTGAATTATACAATAATCCTTGGGATGATTCATAATAAAAAATAAACATCCAGATAGCTTAAACCATTGCTTGCATTATTTTCTTATTTAAATATCTTAAGTGTTTTCTAATGCTGCACCACTTATACCTCTCAGTCACAAATGCTGCCTTACAGTTCAAAGATGTTTGCTTTAAAGTTAATCCTTTGGGCTCTGTAAAATGGACCTTTTGTCTAATCAATGCAAATTGATTTTGCTATTCTGTATTGACCTCTCAACCCTTTGACTGTCCATGGTAATTTCTTTCTTCACCTGATAAGGTACCTGATCCATAATAAATCAATTCTAATTAGTTTGGAGACTTCACTGGGAGCATAAGTTTGTTAGAAAAAAGCAGCAGGTTTCAGGTAGCTTTCTCCTATCTCTCCATCTGTAGTAATATTTTTTGCATAAGACTGTCTTCAATATATTCTTGGATAATCCTGGGTCATAAATATATACATTGCTTTCTGCAGAGACAAGCCAGATTAATTTGGAATTGTACTGATAAAATATTAAAAACGTAAAATAGTGTAAAACTAGAGAGGAGCAAAGAGATCCTGGATTTAAACCTAAACTTTCGATGTTTAATTGCCTCATATATGTATACTGCCTTGGAATGTCCTAGCAGCAGCCTTTGAATGTCTAGCAGCTTCTGCCAGACAGATTGTCTGGGATAAAAAAAAGGGTTTTTTAATTTCTTTTTGTAAATTCAGAGAGGTAAAACTCCAGAAAATCATCTTTTATTCTCTCTCTCACATTTTCTTCTCTTTTTTTTTTCTCTCTTTTTTTAAATATGCTGCTGGTGATACGGTAAACAGAGGTTTAGGAAGCAAACATAAATGCTGGAGAATTTTGGTTATTTTGGGGGATTTTTTTATTTATGCAACAAAGTCCTCATTTAGCATTTTAGCTCTCAGTAAGATTATTGGTCTTCTAGAACTTCTAACAGTTACCTGCTTTTGCACAAAAAACATATTAAATTTGAAACTGTGAAAACTCAAAATACGCATTTGTGACATCTCGCCTCTCGATGGGTGAGTCGGTGTTTTCTGTATTCAGAAGATGCAAAGATGCAGTTTTCGGGAAGCCCTGCTAAAATCACACCATTTCCAGTGTGATTTCTCTGGAGAAGCAGGGGCTGCCCGGACAGCCCAGCACTGTCTCTCCGAGGCCTTTTAGCCGATTGCTAATGAGTGCGTGGGCTCCCTGAAAGAGTTGAAAAGACAGATCTCACTTTTACCAGCACCACTTCCAAAACCGAAGTATGTGGGCAGGAAATAAATTACATATATGTATACACACACACACATATGTGTATGTAACAGGATGGGAGAGGTTTGTTTGTCCAAAAGAAAGGCAGAGCACAGCAACCCAAACTGGAACTTAAAAAAGAAAAAGTCTTTGAAAAGTGGTAATTACTGTTTTGGTAAATTGCTCTAACTCTTCCACGCGTGACTATGCTGTTTAAAAATCTGTCAACCAATTTACTTAGCTGGTTGATGACAGGGAAAAAAAGGAGAGAAAAGAGCTTTTCGGAAGGTGGGAGCCTGCTGATGGCAGATAAAGGCGGTTCTGCCGTGCCTGCTTGGGCAGCGTGCGGGCAGCGCTGCGGCCGGAGGTGCTGCCCGCTAGGATGCTCAGTGATGTGGAGACGGTGGCTCCTTCCCGGCCGCTCATCTGCAGGCACCGGGAGCTGAATGGCCTCTTGGAGGGTTACGGCACTTCACGAGGAGCACATGAATGACCCAGGGTGGTTAAAAAAAAAAAGGCGTACTCCCCCCCTCCCCCACGGAGCCGTAGAGATAAGAAAGGGAGAGTTAACGCGCTGCCTGCTTCCAGCTAGAAAGTGTTCCTCTTGGACTGTTCCGACCGAGAAAGGCCGGAAGCCCCTCACTAAGAGGCCAAAGAAACCGCAGGTAAACGGGGTCCGTTTTCACCTCGCACCTCCCCGCGGTCCTGGCCGGCTGTTTGAGCCCGCTGCTCCTGTGCGCAAGGTGCTGCGTTTGAGAGCCTGGTGTCACTGCAGCCGAGTGCCGGGATGCCTCACTTCCAGCTACCTTGCCTCTCACTCCTTTCTTTTATTTTTTTTTCAGTCGAGTTTTAATGCCTCCTTAGAAAAGATAAGTTCATTTTTGCACACCTTGGGGTGGTGTGTTCATTTTCTGCCCAAGAAATGGATCTTCATTCGGATTTTGTACATCTTGATTTATTCTTGGCTTATAGTTTGAAGTGGGTGCTCTTCTAAAAGGATTTATGCATAGGTTCACTATTTTTGTAGTTATGGTTTATATGATAAGCTTTTTATATTTAAAATCAATATGTAATCCTGTGGAGGAGCTTATCCTCTAAAACCCCATTTGTAAATCTATTTTAGCTTTGTTACACCGCGCAGCCACAGTATTCCATAGATTGATTAGGTTCAGCAGCAGAATCCTATCAAATGGCCTGCTCTGATGATGATGCAAACTCTTTCAGGATTGCTAGTTGACTGGAACTAAAGATAAGACCTGACTGCAATCCCCCAATGTGCTCTTTACAAAACTAGTGTTAATTTTCATCAAAGTGCCAGGCTTATTTATTATAGTGGCAAGGTTGAAGGTTTTACTACGAGAACTTTCGACCATTTCTATTAAAGCATTTCTATGGGATCTGGACGTCTGTTTGCTCAAAGTAATTATTAGTTTAAGCAGTGGGGAAAAAGAAAAAGACAATATGAAGTCAATGAAGATGAATAATTGAAAACATTTCTACTTCAATGTGAATTTAGCAAACTCTGTCGTTTTAAACTGCCCGTTGCAAGTGGTGGCACGGGGGTTTTAGCTTTCAACACTTTTAGCTCATATACAGCCTCAGAGCTTAATCCTATTTTTGTCCAGAGTGTAGCTTTTATAACAGTATTATTCTGAAATCTTCAAATTAATCACAGCCCATATTGTAGCTTCCCAGAGCTGCAGTCAGCCTGGGTAACTCTATGTGACAGGTGTTATAGGTAATCCTGGCTTAAAAGGCACAACAGGTAGGAATCAAACTTGAACACAGTTGCTTTTTTAAACATAGGGATGCTTCCCAAAACTGCTGCCGAGCAGTATTTTGTTGGATAAAACAAAATTGCAAGGTAGTCACCTATAAAATGTTATTTAAATACTTAGAGTCAGTTACCTTTTAACCAATTCCTGCTTGACCCTTTATTTATTTTGGGGGGAGGAAAGGCAGACTCCTTTCCTAGAAATGGAAGTAAAATTGTAAGGGAATAGTTCTGCCAGCAGGTTTTCCCAAGGCATTTTTCAAACATTTATAATAAGCAAATACAGAAAAAAAAAAAAAAAAAAAAAAAAAAAAAAAACCCCCAAACAAATGCACAGTTCTGTTCTGTGAAATCGTAATAGAACATTATTTACTTCACAGGGCTATAAGATGAAGCAACAAAACCTGTAGCACTTAGGAAGGGACTTTAACAGAGAAAAGTAGTGAGGGACTGAGCAAAACATTTACTGAAATATTCTGACTAGTTTGCTCTTTCAAAAGCTGAAGTTGCTGCTGCAACTGGAGAACAGGGGATGAACAAGCAAACAAATAAAAATCTTTAAAAATAAAAAGTGAAAACATCAAAATTGGGGGGGAAAAAAGTCCAGATAGAGACGATGGATTTAAAATCCCTTTTCATCCAGACCTTTGTGTGCCCAGATGTGCCGGGGAACCCTGAGTCCCAGCACAATTCCCGGCTGAAGCCAGGGAAAAGTTACGCTGGAAGTTGGGAAACACATCTGGGGGGAAGCAAAAGCCCCTGAAACCCTCTGCCATGTCTCTCTCTCTCCTTTTCTGTCTGGCTTGCTGCCGTGGCCATTTTCAGGGCCTTTTCAGTGTTGTCATGCTGAGATCTCATTGCCTGTGAGGGGCTTTATTTGTGGGGCAAATCGCTGCGGTTTGGGGAAGTTCTGACTCGCAGAGTGGCAGAGCAGTGTGTTTTAAATGGGTTGAAGTGAAGGAGCTTTGCCCAAAAGGAGCAGAAAGGGACGCAGCAGTGCAAATCTGGAGGCTGCTCTAAGAAGTAGCACCTAAAAGGCTGCTACCCAAATTAAAGGAGCTTTGTGGCAGGAAAAAATGGCTTGGATTACCGGTAATTTTAGCTGCTAACTCCACTTCTAATCTGTGTACACCTGAAAAAATTCTTCCCTTAGCAACGGTGGAGGGGAAAGGACACATTTAAAAAAAAAAAAAAAAAAAGGAAATGGGAAAGGAAAAGAAGGAGAAAAATGAGAAAAATGAAAACTCCCGGGAAGTTTGGGCAGTGCCCTGCCAGGCCGGTGCCCCGGGAAGGGCTCTGGTGCCCCCGCACCGGCTCCGCCGCTGCCTGCAGGACGCGGCCGTGGAGCTCGCTGCTCGCAGAGCCTGACACGCGTGTGCCGTGGGTTCTCCCGCCTGCTGCTCGTCCTGGGGCTCGCTCGTGGGCCCGTGTGCCCAGGCAGACGGCGAGGAGGGCGCGATAAAAGCGGTTACACATTCCTGCCTTTCTGCCGCTCTTCCAACCTTCATTGCATGATGATGCATCTAATTTTTAATTTGTAAATACAAGGCTGAATTCCCTCTAGCACCACTTGCTTTCATAAAGCTTCTGAGCAGTTTGCTGTCTTGAATAAATTTGGCTTTGGAGGGGGGTCAGGGGGATTTGAACCACCGCATTCTTGCGGGGTTTGTGAAGATTCACATGGTAACCGGTGGGGAGCATTGTTCGGCTTATCTGAATAAGCACCAGCCATGTGAGTTTTAACATGATCGCCCAGGGCAATGGAGAGCGCGGGTGGGTGGGGGAGAAAGCCAAAAGGACTGCACCCTCTCTCCCCTTCGGCTTCGGGAAGCGCGGCCGGAGAGGAGGAGGACTCCGCCGGGCCGGTGGCGATGGCTTCTCCCGGTGGTTGGTTTTTTTTTTTTTTTGGAGCTGGTGTCCTCTTTCCCTCCCGCTCCTCAATTGTCCTGCTATCTCCCTCATAATCTACTGCTCCTGCTTTTCATTGTTTACCTTCTTAATGAGGGAGGCGGGGAAGGCTGGGGCTTGACTGACAGCGACAAGCCCTCACGGTCTGGCTGGAGAGCCCGAGGCTGCGGGCGGCCCCGGGGGGCTGCGCCGGGCCGGGCCGGGCCGGGCCGCGGCCAGAGGAATCCCTTTGGGAATAGCCATGCTGCCCACCCGCCGCTGGCTGCCAGCGCCGGGGCTGGAGGGGCCCCGCGATATTCTGTAGCAAGTGTATTTTTACTTCAAAGTGGGAAATGCTAATTAAGCGATACCTGCCTTTAAAGTTACTGCGGAGCATATGGTGCGCTGTGTGAGATTCCTGCAGCCGCTGGCCGTGGGGGAGCTCGGCGCGGCCGCGGAGGCGAGCGGGGCCGGCGCGCATCCCGCGCAGCTCCTCACCGCGCCTCTTTCCGCAGGGCCGAGGAAGAGGACGAGCATTTGGAGAGGACCCTCGAGCAAAACAAAGGCAAGATGGCCAAGAAGGAAGAGAAATGCGTTCTCCAGTGAGCGGCCTTCCCGCGGCGGCAGCAAAATCGCAGCGCGGCTTTCTTACGTTCTTAGAATGCCGACATGAGACTGGGAAAAACAAAAACAAAAAAAAAGAAAAATGTTTTGAAAAAAAATTAAACTTTTTTCCATTTTCTTAGGCCATATCTAGGCTGCGCCGGGCCCCACTCCGTTGTTTTTTTGTTTTCCATTCAAGCGAACTCGCGTTGTCCCATGATTTCCTTGTGGGCTCAGCTCTCCTGCCGAAAGCGTTGGAAATGGAATCGCCGAGACCCCTGGCGTGCGGGCGATGCCGGAGATGGGCGGAAGGAGGAGAAGAAATAGTCTATCCTGGTTTCTGGAGCTGGAGGAGGGCTGAGTTTTGAAATAAAAATGTTTTTGTCGTAATAGGATTAGAGAGGGGGATATAGGAAAAAAAAAAAAATCATTGGGAATGGTTTGATCTAGTCCTGCCATATGTAATACTTAATAAGCTACCTACATTTTATAGTTAGGTCAGATCCACCCCAGTTATTATTAAAAATGTGCTGTATTTACCAGTGGTTTATTACATCAGTTTTACATTTCCCCGGGAGTAGAGCCGAGCTGCTCTGGTTTACTCGGGGGGCTTCTCCCCCAGAGCTGGCACAAAACCCTGGGAGCGGCTGCGAGGGGAGTAGGGGGAGTAGGGCCTCTCCCCCAGAGCTGGCACAAAACCCTGGGAGCGGCTGCGAGCGGAGCGGGGCAGCCCGGGGCAGAGACCGGCCCGGCCCAGGACAGCGCGACACTTCCCACCCGCGTCCTCCCGCGGACCGGACCGGACCGGACCGGACCGCGCCTCCCGCTCCGCGTTATTTATTGCGCCCGGCCGCGTTCCCCACCGCACCCCGCCCCGTCCTGTGCCCCCAAGCGTGTCCCGCGCTCGCATCGTCCCTTCGTGGAGCTCGTCTCGTTTATTTATTACAACGTCGAGTCATATATAAAATTTTCAATAAAACCCGAATCTTTCTTACCGTAACTGCCGCTTTCCTCTTTACCTGGGAAACTCCCTTCACCCCTCCCGCCTTCAGGCGGCCGGGGACGGGGCGCGGGGGGCGGGAAGGGACCGATCCCGGCGGGAGGGGCAGCGGGGCTCCGCGCCCCGAGCCGCCCCGGCCGCCGCCGCTTCGCCAACGCAACGAAACCCACCGGGCGGAAAAGTTTTTCGTTTGATTTTAATAAAATGCAACTCGGGGAGGGGGAGGTAAAACTTTTCTCCGCGGGGCCGATGCCGCCCGCCAGCGGCGGGGGGGCTGCGCGGCGAAAGCCCGGCCGCGGGCGCGCAAGGAACGCGGCCGCGGGGAGCGGAGCAGGCGGAGGGAGCCCGAACCCTGCGCGGGACCGCAGCGGCTCCAGGGGCGACTGCGGCCCGCTCCGCGCTGCGCCCTGCCGCTCTCGCCAAAAGAAGTCCCCCGCGGAGGAGGGAAGCGCCCGGTTTTGTGCGAGCGGCCGCCGGTGCCGCGGGATGTACCGTCCTGGGAAACTGGGGGCTGCCCCGGGGCCCGCAGGTGGATTTGGCCCCATGCGAAGTTTGGGAAGATGCGCGGAACACCCCGGCGCCGGTGGGGCTGGGGCAGCGGGCTCTGCAATGCTCTTCTGCCCTCCCGTAAAAATACAGGAGCAGGGGACGGCAGGAAACACACTGCGAGGGTTCCGCGGCTGCGGAGCGCGGCGGAGGCTCGGGAAGGAAGAGGCGGCAAAGCCCGCGGCGCTGCCTGCCCGGCCGGAGCTGCTGAGCCCCGAGGAGTGGGGCTGCCCCTGGGCTAGGGGAGCCGCGGGCCGGCATCCTCTCCTCCTAGGGAGGCTGGTGTTTGCCTAGCTTTTAAAGAGAAAAAAGTAACTCAGTCGCTGGGCTGAGCGCGAAATAAGTGCGTGTGTCCCCCGTCTTTCGCCCCCAGGCCGGCAAACCGGCCGCAGGAGGCCCCCGCCCCGCAGCCGGACCGATCTGCCCCTGCCCTTCGCCGGGGCCGGGGTCGCGCAGCCCGGCCCCTGCCCACCCGCAGCTCCCGCCCTGCGCCGACCTTACCTGGGCGCAGCGGGGAGGGCGCCGGCTCCGTCCGGCGGAGGGAACGGGGGATCGGAGTCGCCGGGACCGTCACCTCGGGGGGGTGGCGAGCCCCGCGCCCGCCCTGCCCGCATCCCCCGGCCGAGCCTGCGGGGAGGCGTCCGCAATTGGGGATTGGGTAACAGCGGGAGCTGCGGGAGCTTGGGGGGGGCATGGATACCCCCTGGTGTGTGGGGGGGAAAGCCTCGGGGGGGCTGCTGCCCGCCAGGACCGGGGCTGCCCCGGCGGGGCGAAGTGATGGGAAGGCGGCGGAGGCGGGGGGAGCGCAGCCCGAGCCAGGAACTGCCCCGGCAGGACAGGGGCAAAACGGGGGAGAGGGTCTGGAAGGGGGGAGAACTGCCCCCGCAAAGTCTTCCTCCTCCCTCCTCCTGCCTTTGCTTTTTTGTGAATGGGCCGCGGCGCCTTTGTTACGGGGAAAAGTGCCCGTGTCGCTGACTTTTGCGGGAGAGCGGAGGAGCTTGCTAACCTCCTTCGCTCCACTCATCGGCTCCCTCCCGCCCGGCTTAGACGGTTCTCTCCTCGCACAGGAAAAAGATTTGAAAAGAAAGGGAAAAAAACTCCAACAACAAAATAAAATGGGGGGGAAAGTCTTCCCCCCGGGAGACCGCGCTCCGATCGGGGCCGGCGGGCAGCGCCTTTGAACATTAGCTCGCTTTCAGCTCCACTGCAATTAGAGGGAGTTGATTTGGGGAGACCAACAAAAGCCGCGCACCGGAGCCTCTTTAGAGGTCCGGGGCCGCTCCGCCGCCCGCGCGGCCGCCGCGCCCCGACCCCGCCGCCTCGAGCGAAGAGTGGGCCCCGCGGAGCGGCGCGGAGGGCCCGGTGTCACCTCGCCCCTGTCCCCACGGCTCCCGTGCGGCCCCCGCCCGCTCGCCCCCGCGGCGCGTAGCAGCCCCTAAATTCGGGACACGCGAGGAAAGGTGCGGTCGCTGTAGTTTTATTGCGATTTTAAAGCACAAAGTTTGCGAGAGCCCGCGGGCATCGGGATGGGGGGGCCGCGACACCGCCTCCCCTCCCCAGGAGCGCCCTCCGTGTCGGCGAAGGCGGCGGCCGAAACTTTTTCTGCGGTCTCCCGGGGCGGCAGGGACGCGGAGGACGGCGCGGGGGGCATCCCGAGGGAGGTGGCAGAGCTGCGCGGGCGCGGAGCGGCCCTCCCTCTTCCGCACTTCTCCAACAATTCCCACCACCCGCCCTCTCGGCGGAGGTTGCGCGGGGCCCTGCGCGCCCGCCCCCTGCGCCCCTCGCTCCGCCGGCCGGCTCTCCGCGGCGCCGGGGTCGGTGCGCGGGGGAGCGCGGAGCGGCGCGGGGCGGTGCGGAGGAGCCTTCGCCCCGCGCTGCCATTGCCCGGGCGGCTGTCAGTCAGGCGGGGAGCGGCCGGGGATTGGCGCCGGGCTGGTTACGCAGTTGCTTTGCGCGCACATACAAGGGTAGGGCCGGGGGTAGGTGATCAATCCTCATCAGGGCCGCGGCTCCATCGCCCCGACAGCGCGGGCCGCCGGCAAGGTAACGCGGGGTACCCCGACAAGTCGGGGGTGCGCGGCTCGGCTTCGGGCAGCGCCCCCCCGGCCCCCCTCCCCAGCCCGCCTCTCACCTGCCTGCCCCCCTCGCTNGGGCGCTCAGTCGCTCCGCAGGTGGCCGCGCAGGTGAGGCGGGCGGGGGCGGTGGGCACCGCGCTCACCGACGGGGCGGGCGGCGGCGCCGGGACGGAGCGTAGCGGGCCCGCGGTGCCGTGGGCAGGGGTGGTGAGCACGGCCGGGCCGGGGCTGCCTCGGGATTTTTTCTTCCCTCTCTTCTCTTTTTCACTTTTCTTTCCCTCATCTTCCCTGTTCTCTCCTCCCGGGACGGGCCCGCTCCGCCGCGTCCCCGACAAAGTTATGCAACGCCGGGTCCCGGCGCTGCCACCCGACCTGCGCCCGGCCCCGGCCTGCGGGGGCACCGCGAACCCCGCCGGCATCAGCCCCCCGTGGGCCGGGTGCCCCCTTGCCCCGGCTGGGGGGAGTCGTGTCAGAGAGCGGGGGCTGCCCCGGGGTCTCTCCGCTCCTTCCTCCCCTCCGCGTTTATCTGCGGCATTCTGCCCCCGAGCCCGGGCGCTGCCGGCTCTCTCCTGCCGGGTCCCCCCCGGCCCTGCCGGAGCCCCCCGGGCGGGCCCCGCCGCCGTCCCGTCCCGGCTGCCCGCGCTGTCGCCCGCTCGGCTGCCGGCGCGCTCTTTTTTCCTTTTCCCCTTTTTAACTCTTATCCATTTCTAATTAAAACGTCCCCGTCTGCTCGCTTTTAAATTAATTATACTTCCCTCCTCTGATACCTCCTTTTGATTCCTAATCCAATTATCTTTTTAAATAATTGCTTTATCTCTCCCGATCGCCGGGCACTGTTGCCTCTCGGCACTTGTGCGCGACTCGTCTTCGTTTAAAATAAAATAATAATAAAATTAACAATCGGAAGCCGCCCGCGCGGAGCCCCCGCGCCGGGTGGGCGCAGCCCCGCGGGAGCCCCGGGCAGCGCTCGGGCGGCCGAAGCCTCACCCGCTCCTCTCCGCTCTCTCCCCAGGCGCTCCGGCCTCGCCTCTGCGCGGGGAAGAAATCCGCCTGTCTCTCGATCCTCGTTGTTGTTTTGATTTTTTTTTTTTCCTTCGTTTTTATTTTTCTCTCACTTCACCTGCTATCTCTCGAGGACGTCGTGGCGGTGACGGCAGGACTGAACGAAAAAAACTCCTTTCACGCCGACTTTGTGCTCCGTTTTTAAATTGTCGTTGGCTTTAATTTTTTTTTTTTTTTTTTTGGACTCTTATTTGGGGATTTTTTCGGGGGCTCTTTTTGTCAGTTTTTTTTCCTTTCATTTCCCCCTTCCCCACCCCGTACATTCGATTTGATTTTGATTTTTTTTTTTTTTTCCTGCCGGACTTTGGAGGAAAACTGCCCGGCTTCTAGCATGATGTCTTACCTCAAACAGCCCCCTTACGGCATGAATGGGCTGGGGCTGACGGGCCCCGCCATGGACCTGCTGCATCCCTCCGTGGGGTATCCGGGTGAGTGCCGCGCACCGCGGCCCCCCCAGTCCCCCACCCTCCAGCCAGCGGAGGGGAAACTTCCATCCGTGCGGGTCTGGAGGAGCTGGTGGGGCCGTACGGCTCAGGGTGGGTGGTGGGCTGGTTGTTTGCCTGCACCCCTGCCTGGGGACATTAGGGTCTAGCTGAATTTCCCCGCTGCTCCCGGGGTGTCTTCGTTTTCCCAGGGACTTTTTAAGGATAAACAATTTTGGAATTGAACAACAACCAAAAAAAGTAATTAATTTCGACACAACGAAATCTCCCCGTAGCTCCCGCTGGAGCCAGGCCCGACCCTTCCCCAGCCCTGTGCCCCTCGCCCTGCCCGCAGCGGGACGGGGTCCGGCAGCCCTGGGTGTGCGGGAACGCTGCCGCTCCTTGGGGCGCTCCTCAGGCCCCGTCCCGGGGAC